GCAAGATTTCAGGTTTCAAGGTTTTTTTCCTCTTGGAGCTATAACGGTCACAAATACACAGATACGCACGCGCGCGCATGCAAACACGTGTGTGTGTGTCTGTGATTTCTGTTTGTAATCGAAGGAACCACTTCTTTTCTATGTGATTTTTCTCTAGCGTGACTCATTAAAAAGATGCGCACGCACATGGATAAGTAATAATATCCCGGTGCACACCCTCAGGGTCCACTTAGTACAGGTGCAAAGTTCAGGTTTCTAGGTTCTTTGCTCTTGGTGTTATAGTGGTCACACACACACACACAGATCTACAGACACGCTTCTTTTTATTATTATAGATGAACTGGGATATTCTTATAATATATTTTCTCAACTATTGTTGTTTTTTGTTTTATTAACGATGAACTAAGGTATTCTTATAAGATGGGGCCTGGCATTGTCTGGTGGTTAGGGTACTTGACTCGCAACCTGCAGATCGCGGGTTCGAATCCCCGTCACCGAACATACTCACTCTTTCAGCCATGAGTCGTTATAATGTGACGGTCGCTCCCGCTATTCGTTGGTAAAAGAGTAGCCCAAGAGTTGGCGGTGTTGACTAGCTGCCTTCCCTCTAGTCTATCTCTGTTAAATTATGGACAGCATTCGCAGATAGCCCTCGAGTAGCTTTGCTCCAAATTCAAAACAAACAATGTAAGATACTTTATCAACTATTGCTGTTTTTGTTTTATTACCGATGAAATTATGTATTCTCGTAATATACTTTCTCAACTGTTGTTGGCTTTTGTTTTATTGACAATGAACTGGTACGTTCTTGTAATATACTTTCTCAACTGTTGTTGGCTTTTGTTTTATTGACGATGAACTGGTACGTTCTTGTAATATATTTTCACAACTATTGTTGGCTTTTATCAACTGTATCACAACCGTTAATACAAAGTAGAAACGTCACGAATTTGAAAGTTGGTAAATAAACAGTTCAAAGCTTCTAAATCATAGCCCATCAAGCTAAAGTTAATTTAAACAAAGTGATACCTAGCGAAATCAAACAGTGGAGACTGAATATTATGATATTCAGGAATTGAAGTTAGACCTGATAACTAAATAATATTGCCTCGTCACAGAAACAAACAACAACAACAAAACATTACACACAAAAAAGGTGTCTTAGGTAGAATCTATAAAATAAATCTCTTTTAGGTAAATTTGAGTGTTTTGACATGAAACTTGCTTATTTTTAAAGGTTTACCTCTTACACCCTAAAGAAGTATACATGAAACCTTTACGAGAAAAATGTGCTAATATCAAAGAAAGAATATGCCTTCTTTATACAATTAACTGGTGGGTTAATAGTTTATTCAAGGCACAATGGGATAAGACTCCAGAATAGTTCATAGCACGCTTGGTTTTCTAACAGGAGACAGGATCGAAATCAGGATTTTTCAACAACAACAAAACAAAAAAAAAAGTACTTCTCAATATTTCTCTAAAGGTGTAGTTTGAACTGAATAATTTGAACTTCGGCAAAGATATAATTTCACACAATTTGTTATCGGTTGTACATAGTAAAACTTTTGTTCACAACGTTTTACCAGGTGTACCTGGCATCATCAAAAGCTCTTACTATATGCAACCAATAAAAAACAAACTTTATGAGTTTTAAAAATCATAGTCATTTCTAATATTTAATAAAGATATTATTTATCATTTTATAGCTTAAAGCAAGACTTGAGAGGTGTGAATTACTTTTCTAATGTTTTAATACAACTACATCCTCTCTTTTAAGTGCCACCTAGGGCTACATAATATTTTAATGCAACTACATCCTCTATCTTATAAGTGCCACCTAGGGCTACATAATATTTTAATGCAACTACATCCTTTATCTATATCCTTAATGTATCTTTATTAAAAATGTTAATGAGTTTTGGTGAGACGCATTTTTTTTCTTTCAGTATTCCTTGGTACCCTCTGTGAGAATGAAGATACTAGATAGGAAGGAACTTGTTGATATTATACCAGTATGAAGTAACTAAATCAGCATATATATAGACATCATATACTCTGGTTTATTTAGTCGCAAGCAAGTAAACTATTACAAAGTTTAATATCACAGTCTATTTATTAAAAAATACAAAAGAATACATCTTCAAACGCTAATAACGTTACCTTAGATACAAGAGGTAAAATGATCAGGAACTTACTTTTCCAACAGAGTCGCCCTCCAGTGGCACAGCGGTAAGTTTGTAAAAAACAACAGTACACGAAACGGAAGATATTTGATAAATCAAAAATAAACTGAACGAGTTAAACGTGTTAAAGCAGTAAGTAGATACATTTATATCCCAATCTATTGGGAGACAAATTCTAAAATGGTCTAAAGATGAAACGTCGTAAAATAGACGAGGCGTACTGGAGAAGTTTCGTATTAGAGCAAACTAAGACAATTATCAGTGTAAAACTAACGCGCTGAATATAAGAAAATGCATATAGAGCATCAACATGACGTTGTTTTTGGATGGAATTAGAACTTTAACTCACGCGAATGGCTCTATAAAGTGTTTACTTTAACATGCAAAGAACTGAAGATACTTCTTCTTAACACTAATCCACAGTCTTGTTTCCTAGCAATCTGCTCGTTTTGACATTTTGTTATAGTTGAGAAATATACTCTACATTATTTTTTAAATATACAAATCCAGAAACAAATATATATATATATATTTTCCTTCTTTAACTTGAAAATGGTTGATCCTGATGTGGTGCATTTATTCGTATTAATGACCCATGAAATTAACAGTACTGCTATTTTAATTTTAGTAACATGTTTTTGTACACAGTTTTAGTTTACATGAACTGATCAGGATACATTACATTACAAATGTTTTTATTTATCTATCTTATAAGTGCCAAGTAGAGCTATTAATCTTTTAACTAATCAATCTTTTCATCATTTGTAATAGCTTTCCTTTTATTTTTTTACAAACACTTTACATGTTTCAATAATATAGTGTTTGAAAAATACAAAGCTAATAAGGTAATTTTTGATTTACTGAAAAAGATCACATTTACCAGTACACAGTTTTAAATTGTGTATTTATTACTAAATTCAGTGAATTCTAATCATCATATTTGTTCATACAGCAGGTTATATGCAAAGGTTGGAAAGCATTTCAAAATGTTGAAATAATGTGCAGATAACATGACATTACTCAGAACTGTAGTTCTTGGCTGGTCATCATGAGGGTTATAAGTTTTTCATCTCACAACAAAAATAATTCATTGAAAATTAAATTACTTTCCCTACAAGTTCAATTCAGGTTTTATCATTGTTTTAAAATACAAGATTCATGGAAATTATGAAACAAGTATACTATGTTTGGGTTCACAGATAATCTACAAATTATTTAAAATATCTGCTCACTTCGTAGAAAAGTAAAAGATAAATATTTACTTTTATTCCTCGGGTTTCTGGTCTAGAGGGCTATTCTGTGAGGTTTTAACTTCAACTGGTATTAGCATGCTATTTATTAGTGCAAAAAAACTTAACTACATATAATTTATGAAAATATAATACAGAAGAACCACAAAATTAATGGCAAATTTATATCTCTGTAAACCTTATTTAAAATTCTTTGAAAATTTAGGTCTTTTTATCACACAGAGTTCGGAGTAAATGGTAACAGTGATGAAAGTAAAGTACTATTTTGTGTGACAGCAAAATTTAATCTTTAAAAATACAAAGATACTGAAACTGAGTGTGTCTAAAAATAAGTTTGTAGTATTCCAAGTTCTGATAGTAAGTGTTTAAAACTAAATAGTAGTTTCAATATCCATTCAATGTATGGGGAATATATATGAAACACCAAACCCCCTAAAGTCACTCCACGGAAGGATTGGTGAAAACTGTCCAGTGGTTTGCCAGTTGGAAGTAAATACTCAACCATATACAAACTTTTGTCAAAAACCAACAGTTATTACAGGTGTGCCTGTTAACTAATGTACTGCATCCTTCCTTTAAATATGTATACTATAACTCAAAGCTGTACACTGATAGATTAACTAGGGAAGTCTGCTGTTGAGTTCACACACTCTCTCTCTCTTTCTTACACTCACAAAATAAACTCAGTGTTGTAGATTTTCTTTCTCTCCTTTCAGTTTTAAACTCTTTTTTATAACATTATTGTAAAAATTAGGATGAATCTCCAAACACAAAATTTAATATTCGACAGTCTAAAGTTAAACCCTCTCGCAGGTAGCATGTCCCTAGCTACTCCATACAAAAACATCCTTTTGTTGCTTTTCACAAAGTAGCAGAACTGGAAATTTTCAAATTATACAACCTTCTAGTATTTTCTAACACAAGGGAGCTACAGAATAAATGGTAGTGACAGTAAAGCCTTGTAACAGTAGTGCCTTGTGACAGTATAAATGGTAGTCATAGTAAAGCCTTATAACAGTAGCGCCTTGTAACAGAATAAATGGTAGTGATGGTAAAGCCTTGTGACAGTACAAATGGTAGTGACAGTTAATTCTTGTGACAGTAAAGCCTTGTAAGAGTATAAAGGGTAGTGATAGTAAAATCTTGTAATAGTATAAATGGTAGTAACAGTAAAGCCTTGTAACAGTATAAATTAATTATGCTTACCTCATTTAATGTGATGTGTTCTATTTTGTACTTCAAGTATTTCATTGTTTTATGTGTTTGTTAAGGGTTAAGGGTAACACCTGAAAAAATGACCCAAGACCACAAAACTATTTCAAAGGATACTGCAATGTTATTGAACAAAAATATTTAAAAACAGAATTAGTGTCTTGGTAACTTCTTTTGTATCTAAAACATGAGTGAAGTAAAAATAGCTGACTATATATAAGTTTGTATATATATAAAAACACACACTTGTATAGATGTTTTAAATATAAAATGGCTGATTGTGCAATTTGAACAAAAAACAGCTGAAGACAAAGGCACCTTGGAATACTGAATGCAAAACAATACTTCAAACTTTATGAATACATTTCTTTGTTCAACATTCTTTTTATTCAGAACCAAGTTTACAGTCAACTACAAATTATATGACACTATGTGGATGACCTATAAATTTCAATTTTTATTTCAGCTACAATACCCAGGATTGTGTGCAATTACAAGTTTTTGCTTTATCTGATCCTTTCATTCCCTCATTTTTAAATGTGCTACAATTAAAAACAAAAACTATTTGTTTTAAACTGTAGTAATAATCAAAAAGCAAAGAGCAACAAGAAAGCCATCATAAGACAGAAAAGTCCCATAGCTTCTGAGAGAGCAAACCCTAGAATGGCATATGAAAAGAGCTGTTGTTTCAGGGATGGATTCCGGGCATAGCCAATGATTAAGCTGCCAAATACACTTCCAATACCAGCTCCTTAAAAAGAAGAAAAAAAAGGGTAAAACACATTTTTGCAAATTATTTCAAATTCAATTTAATTAATGATTGTATTTATTTGATTGTATGAGCAATGTAGTTTATAACTAACAAACTCATTTTATTTATCAGCCAAGAACTTATCAGAGATATGGAATTTGTTAATTTTGAAATACAAGTAAAACTCTTGAAATTATTCCTCCTTTAGAAACTTGAATTTGTTTTTGCAAGTGGAACATAATATTAAGTAAACATAAAATACACTTAAAAATACTATTTTTGTTTAATGAGTATTTATTACTGTCATTTATAAACATAATAAAAGTAAATCATCACAACTGTTTTTTTTTTTCATAAACAAAAAAACTAAAGCTATTGCATTAGCACTTTCTATCCATCATCAGTGACCAACTATAATTCAAACTGCTAAAAAAACCTGGTAATATTCCTACAACTGTATGTTACAGAAAAACTCTCATTACCTGACAATTTTATGAGTTTTCCTTGGTAATATGGCTACTTAATTTTCTGCAGTTATTTGTTTAGTAGAAACAGAATGATGGGCCTTTTAGAGTACTTATTCAACAAAGTATCAAATCTTAATGAAAGATCCAAATGATATTACCATCTTTGCTAATTTCAATTTAGAACTTCAAGAAAGCCAAAAAAAGATAATTAAAATAGACCAAACTTGTAACTTACATGTATAGAGGGTTCATCTAATATTATCAAGTCTGTTATCAATTCATTTAAACCAACTATATTTATGTACTTCATTACATTGCAATTACTAGATTACATCTTTTAACCTCACCTGATCCAGCTACTCCAACAGTTGCAGCACCAGCACCAATAAACTTGGCTGCTGAGTCAATATCCCTTTGTGTAGCACTTGTTTGCAGAAGTCTGGTTACCTAGAAAACAAGTCAAAACCATTTCAATTAAAGGTCTTACGAAAATGTAATGTAATTCAGCAAATATAACATCACAAAATTTAACACTTTTATTAGCAACATCAGAGAAAATATTAACATACTTAATAATTTCAATTTTAAACAGAAGTAATAAATTCTTTGACATTAGAAGATCACATCTTGGACTTTAAACATAAGTTAAGGAAGGCTTGACAAACATACTGACAGGGAAGTATCATAATACTTAGGGACAACAAGGGCTTGTTAATCCATTGAGACTGTTCCATGTATTAAACTAAACTTACAAAAAAAAAAAAAAATCAAAGTCAGTCCTTACTTAAATATTTATCAAGTCTTCCATTAAACCCCTCACATTTACTGTATCCACCCCAAAATATAATCCAATCTAAAGGCAAAAAACTGTTAGAAACATAAAGCTGTCTGAGCAGAAGATGACTATTACACTGCTAAAATTTATATGTGCCCCTTTGTCCTACCATTCTCACCATTAAGTACAAAAAAGATAATGCATCAACATTTGCTTTAACAATCCCAAACCCCTCTAACTCTTCTTTATTCAAAAGAAAATAATATCACAAATCTTAAGTTATACTTGACAACCTTTCAATCCCAGAATCCTCCAAGTAGTCTTCCTCCAAACCCTTCCCAACAAAGCAATGTCATTCCTAAATAGCTCATATCCAATCCTTAACCTCCTTCAAAACCCTTGGGGAATATTACAATTCAAAGCCATCTGCCCAACTCACCAAATAATCAATTCATTTTGTAAAGCACCAGCAGCATTCTCACAATCAGGAACACACAAGACCTTAATACCATCAGCAAACTTAAGTAATCTATTGACTATCTCTTCATTAATTTAAACCAAAAAGAGCAAAGGTCCTAACACTGAGCCCTAAGGTACCCCCACTTGTGACATTAAGCCAGTTTAACTGAATTTGATATATAACAAACCTCTGATTTCTTCAATCCAGCCATTATTTTATCCAGCGAGCCAACGTATTCCCCACACCTAATATTTTTAACAAGCCTTTTATGTGGTATCTTGTCAAATGCTTTCTGAACGTCCAGGTACACCAAATCTATACCCTTATGAGTCTACTGATTTATTCAGATAAAATCAAAATATTATTAGTAAGACAACTTTTCCCTAGTGAAACTGTGGTGACTATCCAACAACATTTTAAAATTTGCTAACAGAATTTTTAAAACACCTTTTATCAGACTTACAATGACTTCTCCCACCACTGATGTAAGATTAATAGGCATATAATTACCTGGACAATTTTTTTTTAATCACCTCCCTTGAAAAGGAGTAACATTAGCTTCCACTCTTCAGGCACTTGCTCACTAGAATGTTTAACAAGCTAAGTTCTTTCTGTGATATGCAAACATATCATGATTTCTACCCGCTTTAACATCATAGAAATTTCTCATTTATTTGGTTTGTACGCAGTAATAGCAAAAACATGTGGTCCAGAAAGTTGTTGAGACTGCCTTGTTCTAGTTGCTTTGTTCTTTGTAATAGATAATTTCTATTCTACCCTAGAAGATGTTGCAGTAACATATAGCATCCAGGTTGAAAGGATTAGCACCGTCATATCCTTTGATAGCCAAATTGACATTAACTACATGAAACAACTAACTAATGTTGTAAAAGAACAAAGGTCATGAGATCACACTGTTGAATGGTTGAAGAAAGCAAGTTTACATACTGAATTCAGGCATGCTTTCTTAAGCCAGTTCTACAATAAATTCATTGAATAGACTTACTTTTAAGGTCATTGTGCTCAGTTCTACAGAGATCAATCCAAAGCACAGTCTAATAGAAGTTACTATCTCTTCATGTGTGCAAGAACGTATGCTGAATTTTTTTTACTTAATAAGATTGTTTTCATTCCTACTAACTTTGTAGTCTTATTATTTCACACACATTCTATGAAAACTTAGTTACATTATCCAATCAGAATCATTCTCATGTCCTGAATGAATCTGTTGTTATTAGCAAACCCATCTATCTGGTACTTGTCAGGAAATCAGCAGTTTTTGCCTGAAAATGTTTTGGAGCAAATTATTAGACATTGAGGCTGCAAGTTCTGTAAGATGCAGATCTATTTTTGTTATTAAATACTTAGTAAAATGAGGACTCTAAAGATTTGACTTTTGAAGGTTTAAAGTTTTCTTTATAACCAAGTCTGCAATGAGATCAAACGTGGAGAATTAGATGAGCTACAGATGGGTGTCACAGTTTCTGCTATTCAAGTAAGAACCAAAAACATTTACTACAATAAAAAGTTGAATCTGTTAACCTAAAGAAAAGAATCAAAATCACACTTTACTGCCAAAGTAACTCATCTATCGTCAGTGTTCAGTCACAAAGATGTGGAGATTAGCTGGACTGTGTTCCTCTTGCAGAAAATGGTAGAAGTGTTCATTTTCAGGCAGGTAACACACTTAGCCACCTTACAGAGGGAACTAGGCTATGTTGAGCCTTCCTCAACCATGTCTATAACCAGAACTCATGAAAACTGCAGAGAACACTGCTTTTTAGAGTTTAGAAACCAGATCTCCTGTGGCACAACATGTAACTACTACCATGTGTTGAGTGGAATTTTTGGATTGGGGCATCAGTTTTACTCCATCATAGCCTGGAAACTAATGTGAATTTAGTCACACTGGTGGATAATTCAGATTCCAGATATCACAAGGAATTCAAACATCTATTCAGTATTTAAAAAAAAAAGACAGTACCAGAAGCCTTTATTTTGGAATTAACCTACCAAGCATGTCTTTGACTTACAAACTGGTTATCATGTATTGTAAAAATAAAAAAAGCAATGGGATATTCTGACTGTAAGAAGTAGACTAAAATATTACAATAAATATGATGCATCAAATGTCAGTAAAAATATAAACCTTCAAAAAGAGAGAAAAAGTGTTTATGGTTTCTTTAACATGCACAGACAGATTAGTAATGCTGATTATAGAAATAGGTTTATCGTTATTATTCTATTAAGTATATCAACAAAATAGTTAATGAGAGTGAGTATTTTTACACCATGGATGACTTTTCTCACTTTTCATGCCAAAAAAATCCACAAAATGATATTTTAGGCTTCATTTTTTTTTTACAAAGAAGAATAGATTTAAAATATTGTGCATAAAAACTTCAGTATGAAAGATCACAATGTGATTATCTGTCATATCAAGACCACTTTTAAAGGTAACACCAGCAGTGTCCCTCATTTTATGAAAATTATTTTAAAAAATATAAAAAACTTATGAGAAAAGTTTTAGTTGCTAGTAGAAATGATAAATATTTTTGTAAAGCTTGGGTAGTTCATACAAAGTTTGATAAAACTAGTTAAAACAATGTACTTAAGAGTTCCGACAACGTGGATAAACATCTAGAATTACTAAAAAATTAAAAAACAAACTGGAAAAAAATGTGAATGTTAGAGATAAATTGGAGAACTGTTGAGGTTTATAAGAAAAGGTACGTTAGGATTGCCATTGTTAAAGCTAAAAAAAAACAAAGAAACATTTTTTTGTTCCAAATTTAAAACTTGAGATAAAGAGTTTTCTTGCTCCTGTTTATGAATTTTGCAAAGTTACACAAAGGACTGTCTGTGGATAACCATCTCTAATGTTGAATTGACAGACTAAAGGGTAGACAGCTAAGGAATTTCCCCCACCAGCAGTTCTTATTTCACTTAATAGTTGGAACTACCATCACTCTTAGTGGACCTATGGCCCTATAACACAGAGCATATTTTTGTAGCAATGCAATGTAAACAATGGAGCCTCAGATTTCCAGTCCAGACAAAACCACAAGACCATGCCCCATGGAACTGAGGTTTCCTTGCTTATGTGAACAATGGATCCTCAGATTTCCAGTCCAGACAAAAACCACTAGACCATACCATGGAACTGAGGTTTCCTTGCTTATGTGACATTGAAAAAAAAGTTGGATAACACTGGTACTTTAAGGAGCACTGAAGAAAGCCTGAGAGGGTGTTAATATAATCAATTTGTTTCAAGGTGGAGAAAAGATTTCTTTAAATTTATTTCTGCTGAACAGAAAGTTACTTCAGACTTCAAAAAACTTCTTAAGTAAAGCTCTTGTCTTGGATGAGATTTATCCTAAAGATCTGAAGAAGTTTAGTAAGGAGAAAAAGAGGACTAACAGTTTTCTTTAAAAAAAAAGAAAGAGTATACTTCTTATTAGAAGATTGCTATTATAATTCCTAATTTTTAAAAAGACATGGTTGAAAGAGAACCTAAGGTATTACAAGTCCATTATTTTGTATTTGGTTGAAAGGCATTAGAATCTACTGTTGAAGAATAAAAAAAAGGGGGTACTTGAGTGTTTTTATTTACAACTCTCAGCAATGTTTTATATGTCTCATCAACTTTTTGCAGTTTTAATCATTGGAATTCTGCTTTTCTTTTTTCTCAGTGAAGGCAGCCTGGTAGACGCTGTGTATATTTTTACTTCTAAGATTTTCTTTAAGATTTCATACAACGATTATGAAGTAATATACTTCTAGCCTTCATAAAAAAAAAAGTATTAGTTAAAAAACTAGTCTGGTACAAGAAAGAATAACATTTTAACAAATTGGCATTTTCCAAAAGCTTTTGTTTCAGAATTTCACACAAAGCAACAGTAGGGTAACTGAACTAACTATCCTTACTTTTGAACCAATAAATTAAAGGAAAGGCAGTTAGTCAACAGCGCCCACTGCCAATGCTTGGACTACTCTTGTTTGACCAAACAGTGGGATTTCACATCAATTTTATAGTTCACCTATGATGCCAAAATGTGTAGCAAATGTTTATGGCTTTTCTAGAGGGAAGAATATGACAATTGGAGATCTTCAGCTATGTGTTTTGAATAGCTTTTTTGACAGAACATTGATTAATCTACAGGTTTGAGGTAGATTCCCCCCCCCTTTTTTTTTCCAAAATGGAGAACATTT